CGAAACTAAAATTAAAATCAAATCAATTGGAACTAATATTTCGGAAAGTGTGGTTAAAGTACACTTTAACCACACTTTCCGATAATCGGATAATCGATACAGTAGAGCAGGGGTGGCCAACCTTTTGCATACCATGCGCCAATTTTTTTATAGACGAGTTCAGATGCGCAGTGGCGTACCGTGAGTGTTAGCAGCCCGGGGCGAAAAAAAATTTCGGCCACCCCTTAATTAGGTATTTCAATTTATAAGACGAAAATTCAGATTTGCCACAGAACAAGCAATGAAAAATGCGGTTGTAGTATAGCTACCCGTATAAAATAATTCTAAATGACATCAGTGGTGTACATGAACACGAATGCATCATGTAACGTACAAGCAAAAAAAAAAAAAACAAGGTCAACATGTCGATTGCACCGAATTGCGTATGCAATGAAGCCAAATCTGGAAATGTTGCTCGGAACCGACTGAAGCGCCACTTGTAATCGTCCAATGCGCCAAGTTTGGCGCATGCGCCACGTTTTGGCCACCCCTGAGTTAACATGTCGTATGCACTATTCATTATGTCCCTGCAGCGTTATCCAATACCTACAGTATCTCATTAAACAGAAGCCAGAGAGTTACATGCAAACTACTTCAATATAGAAGTATAACATCAATTCCTTAATATTGTAATTTCGTTCTAGAAAATGTTATCGTATTATTAATATACAGGTTCAAGAATTACGACTTCCTACTTATATATTTAATGTTTTTTTTTTTCCTTTGAAGTGCTGTATGAATCATATGACGCTATGCGAAGTCTTGTTTTAAGAAATTTGCTTAATGCAGTCTACTAATTTGAATAAAAGCAAGTAACTGCATTAATTTGAAGTAGGCTACTTTAATAAATTCTAAAGTCTACCTGAGATTAGAAATTGAAAGTGAATATTATATTGTGAATCCTTACCGCCCGATCAAATCAGATGAATAATTTTTGTTCAAAAGAGAAACGAAAATCCTAATTGGTTTCTAAATAATTATTTCATCCTTCTTAGAATACGTATACAATTACGTCTGAAATCAATGTAACTTATAAACGAACGTATTAAGTATCTAATTAGAACTTACAATTTGTTAACGTTATTTATACACTTAAAATAAATCCTTATACCAAGTATTTTATAGGAAAAAGAAACAGTTAGCGGCGTGGATTTTTTTCGGGAAAAACACAAATATAGTGATATGTTTCTAACGTTCTCTCTTAAGCAGTTGAAAATCCTCACGTGTGAGTTTATTGTCATTGTCGACAAAAACATTAAAAAAACATTTAAAACACCCATATGGCAGCTGCTGGCTGCCATATGGGTGTTTTANGGGGATTCGCGTTGGTCGGATAACCGAAAAAAAGGAAAAAAATACATTATTAGTATATTATATTAAGATATTAGTATATCCCATGTAATTAGTTTATTAGTACAGTATATCGCTATTATTAATTAACCAACTTCGCGTTGAACGTTCATTGATGTTTAGCCTAACAAATTTTTTAAATAATAATAATTGTCGCTATTTTATCTTTAAAAATTATTTTATTGCTCACGGAACAAACAACCACTCGTAACTAGAAAATTAAGTTTCGTTTAAATATTGGCCTCCCTTCAATGGCTACAACCAACAGACTGCCGAAAATCTATCGGGCTAGTTTTATGCTACTTATTAGATAAATTACGTAATCAATTTGGTACTAGAGCCTAACGCTTACCTCTAGTACCAAATTGATTACGTAATTTATCTAATAAGTAGCATAAAACTAGCCCGATAGATTTTCGGCAGTCTGTTGGTTGTAGCTATAATTATATATCGGGTTGGAGATGTTTGTATATATATTCTCCCTTCAATGGTCGAGCCGTTAATGCCAGCTAAAACACGCAAAAATTTAACAAAAATAATATTAAAGTAGCCGAGACAGCCAAATATTGTAATGCCGCATCACTAACGGACATTTGAAATTTGCCGACTAGAACGGTCGGTTAACCGATGTGACGGTTAATCGGGGGTCGGATAATCGATGCTCTACTGTACTTGTTTGTCCGTCTTGATTGATTTGCTTATATTTCATCCAGGCAGAGTCGAATCTTTGTTTATAGCACTTTGTAAAATATTAGTTTGGTTTTGGTTGGCGGTTTCGAAACATTTTGCTTTTAATATACTGTATATAGTTTTTCGGTTAAAACAAAGTTTCGGTTAATGAATAGTCAAACCTCGGATTTCGAACTTACTTCGTTTCTAAAAGGTGGTCGAAAACCGAAACAAATTGTGCCATAAACAATTTAAAATGAATTAAACACTGCACACTGGTAGTTGGTCGTACGTTTGCGCCTGGGCAACGTGGAGTTTTTCGAGTTTTCTTCACATTTGTAACACCTAAATAGTGGTCAGTTTACCATAGAAAGTCCTCCTGGGTGACACTCCTGTCGGCAGTTCGCCCACGTGTCGCGGATTTTGTTCACCATCTTTTTTTTTTGTTTACTCTTTCCGCCCTGTGGGCACTAGGAGGACCTCTTATAGCAGGCCCATTATGGATTCGGCCAGACCCACAATCGGGCGACTGGGTAGTGAGGGACGGGGCCAGACATATCCGAACGGACTCCCCCGAAAGATTCCTGCGAATTCCTTGACCCGCCCGGATTCGATCCCGGGTCCCCCAGAGCGGTAGGCTGCCACCTTGACCGCTCGGTCATCCGGCAGCCTGTTCACCCTCTTTGAAGCTTAATAACTCCTGTACTTTTTGTCGAAAATTTCTGAAATTTTTCAGGGAGGTTTGCTTATTAGGAGGACTGATGCTATTAAATTTTGGTGGTTAAAGGTCGAGGGATGGGTAGATAATGGGTTCGTGTATATTTTCAGTAGGGCCAGACTTAATGGCGATTTTACTCGTTATTAGCATTTACAATGTTTTATAACTTTTGCCATTTTATAATAGTGAAAAATATAAAAATGTTTAAAAATAAAACATAACAACGGATGGCGCCACTAAATGATGCGTGGAAAGGAAAGCTAAGCGACTCGTTGCTGGATTATTTATAAAAGACTGCTGGGAATGATCTGGGCTAAAGCATTTAGAGAATCAATAGCTTTACTTATCATCATTTCTGAAGTTATCAAAGGTATAGAACACAAGTCACCAAACTTCTTTCACAACGTGCCACATAACTGAGAATGAAAAGCGCGGGCCACATAACCACTTTGTTCAATACAATACACTGAATACACAAAAAATAAAGACAACCAACATATTTATTTACCAATACAAACACGATGCCTGCAGCATCGTGTAATGGCTTTCCTTAGAAACTTCATTGCAAGTACGTACACAAAAAGCGCTCCGATATCCAAAGTGACAAAAAGCCGCCGAATTGTTTATTTCACTGCTTTTCCTGAAAATTATATTACTGTCAGATACAAAAGTCAGATTGGACCACCACTTCTGGCATTTTTGCTTACTTATTTTAATTTTTTTTACACAGTAAGTTTATCTACAATCTATGATATATCTATGTAAATAATTACCTTTTAGCTCATTTGTGGTACAGTGCGGCGGCGGACCACATCCGGCACGCGGGCCGCAGTTTGGTGATCCTTGGTGTAGAAGAATAGAGGTTTGAAATAGGTTTTGCCATTTACAACCCAACGTCTGTGTTTAAAGTCGTTATATATTTCATACACAGATTCATCTAGAATAACTGTAGATTTGGAGAGACTTCTTTTAGAAAAAACAGGAATAAAATTCCAAAAAGTATAGGGATCAGATGCAAAGGGCGGAAATAAGTTTGAAACAAAAGGTTACATTCCTGATAGAACTGTTTTTGATGGATTCGGTGTAAATATAGGTCTCTAGGATTGCATAGTATAGATCGATGATTTATTATATAATAGTAGTAGCTATAAGGTTAAATGAAGACGTAAGTCCTCCTCTGTACGGTATCCAAAAGGAGGATATCTTTATTTCAACTTTAAAAAAGTCTTCCTATGCATACCGATTTGTCCTCTAATCATAATTTTTTATCTGGTCAATCAAATTAAATAACAATATTGAATTACATTATTAAGGAGAGAGAATTTTCTAAATGTAAAAAGTTATCATTTTATTTTAACTTTAATTTAATTTTCAGTTTTAATTAATTAACTGTAATATTTGTATCTTAATTTTAATTATTNATTTTATAAATTAATAATAATTTATAAATTTTTGGTGTAAAAATAAATATTGTAGAATATATTAAAATATAGATTTAAGAAATGTTTTTTGTTGGATTTATATTTTCATTAATTGTTCGACCTTTTTAATCATTAAAATGGCACCTTATTGCTTGAGATGCTCCCAATGCAGTATTTATCTTGCTTACTACCCGAAGGGCCCGCCGGCGGCTAAATGTATAAAACCACCAAGTTGGTGTTGTTGGTATTAAGTGATAGTTGGCTATTGGTTTGTGCCTCACCAACAGGTTGGTGCATGGTGTTTTTTGACTTTTTTTACATATATAATACCTAAATAGGGGCCAGTTTCCCATAGAAAATCCTTTTGGAAAGCACTCCTCTTTGACAGATCACCTATGTGTTACTATATGTGTGCATTGCCTTTTTTTAACAACCTACCAACCAACTTACCACCTAGCAGTCCCTGGAAATGTGTTAAATTTATTAGTCTCGGAGACAAAACCCAATTTATGCCCGAGGAGAAAGTTCTGTCGAACTAAGATAACAATTAAACTGACGCTTCTTCGCACGTTAAATTCTTTCATTATATTCTATAATTATCGTCGTCGTCATAAAAACATTACAATGATGATCATTCAACCTCCTGGTATGATGAAGATACCTCTCGCTTGACTGAATAAGTAAATACAAGAAGTATATCAATAAGACATTGTTGCAAATTATTTACTTAATCTATGTTTATGTTGTTATAAAATGTATATACATTAATATAAAATATTAAATTAATTAATTATTTTTTTTAGTTGATATGTCTCTGTCAGAAAATGAAGAGGAAGAATGTCTTTATTTCTGTGGTAATTCTTTGGGTCTTCAACCAAAGTCTGTGCAGAATTATGTTCAGAATGTTCTAGATGATTGGAAACATTTGTAAGTTAAAACAGTTCAAATTCTGGTCTTAACATTGGTTTTTAAACATTAATATATAACTTTACTTAATCAGAGGTGTGGAAAGTCACTTTGTAGGTTCTCTACCATCTGCTCTATGTGATCTTTATCCCAAAGAGATTATGGCTAAATTGGTTGGTAAGTAAAATTCCTTTAGTCGGAATTCAAAAAACACAAGTTCAACCTAACATTTCTAATAGGAGCAAAAAAGGATGAAATTGCCATAATGAATGGATTGACGGTTAATCTGCATCTGTTGTTAGTAAGTACATAATTGTAAATAGCAGGCACACAAATGTGTGATATTTTTGAATTATTTTCCAGTTTAAATTCCTTTTTGCGTATTAAGTACAGTACATAACTGATTTTAACTTCCTCATTATTCTTGTGTCTAATATATTTTTTCTTTATTACAGGTTTCTTTTTATGAGCCAACACCCCAGAGACATAAAATTCTAATAGAAGCAAAAGCATTCCCATCAGACATGGTAAATTTATTTATTTAAAATTTATTTATTTACTTACATTTCTAACAGTAAATTTGAGATGAACAAACATCATACCAATAAATTTGTAAAGCCAAAAAAACAACTGGATTACATCGAGCTACCTTTCTGCAATTATATTTAATTAATTACTAAATAATTTGTCACTAGAGAGAGGTATTAGGTGCCATCTTTTATTAAATTTAAATTAATATTTATTAAATAATTCAGAAAATTTTGGAAGAAAAGAATCTGCCAGCAGCGGGACTCAAACCTGCAACTCCTACTTACCGTGCGAGTTACGTTCATACAACCATCCGCTCAGATATAGCCATATAGCCATCCTCGGTTATATATGTAACTGAAGATGGTTATATCATATTTAAATATGCCTGGAAGGAGAGATCAGATTGGAGGCTCGGTATTGTAACTTGCAACACATCTGAATGGTACGGAATTGTTGCAGGTTGGAGTCCTGTTCCAGGCCGATTCTTTTCTTCCAGATATTGTAAATTATTTAATAAATATTAATTTAATTATAATTATTAAGTTTAATAAGAAATGATGCTTAACTCCTCCCTCTAGTGACAAATTATTTTGTAATTAATTAAATATAATTGCAGAAAAGTAGCCTGAATGTAACCAGTATTTGTTTGGCTGTAGAAAATTTGACTTTTATATATTATTCTACAAGTATATTAGATCATACATTAACATAAAACAAATATGTCACTTCAATAATGTTAAATGAAGCTTAATTAAAGTTGAATTTAAATCATTATTTGTATTATATTGGAGTACTTCTCTTTATATAAAGAGATTTTAAGTACAGTACGTTACGCATTTAATTAATATAATCATTAGACAATTAGATAAATTTATTATTTCATTAAAAAGTGGAATGTTACAAGATCAATATTTAGATTACCAATATGAAAGTATCTCATAATTTTAGTGGAAAGTTTTAAAAAATACACAATGAAGTAGTTGTGTCAAAGTTCTGTTAAAATGATATAAAATCTAGTTGACAGTTAGACTTTGTTATATCGTTTTTAAAATATCTTAAAAATGAAACAGTAAAAAATTCTTATTAATGCTTTCATCTTAATCATTATTGTAGTCACTAAACCTCCCAAATTTATCAGCTATTTTTGAAGTTTGTCACTTTTGAATCAAATACTTTCTACTTAATTTTAAATAATTGATGAAATTTGAAGCCCAAGTTACACAAATCTTAACAAGAACAATGGGAGTTTTTCAGCATGCATCAGTCTCAACCACAACTGATGTGCCAGTGAACAATTTAATAAGGTTATCACACATTTCATAAAAGCTAACAAGATGGCTGAAGCAAACAGTGCTATGTTGGCATTTTGCAGACTTATTTTGTAAAATAACTTTGGGTTTAATACAGGCGAGTTGTAAAAATTGTGTTAATAATATAACTGTGGATTTGGCCATATCGCTTCATCAGAGCTCACCATATTTACAGTCCAATGAGTGTGATGTGCATCAATCGCTGTACTGATGGACTCGTCGGTCATCGAAATACATTTTAGTACAGTAGTGTGCTGCTTTATACATCTGAAATGTACACAGTATTATCTTACTTACTTTTATGGTTTTGTATTTCTGTTGTATCTGCTATAAAGCCTGAGGCAGAATCACCAACTCTTAGCATCAGTAATATAGTATTATAGTGTAGTTTTGTTTGTGAGAATTTTAAAAACAAAAATAGAAATATTATACCATAAATTAATTCTTGGAAAGAACAACATTGAAAATAATCTGTATTAGTTTAGTTTAGTTGATATGTCTCTGTCAGAAAATGAAGAGGAAGAATGTCTTTATTTCTGTGGTAATTCTTTGGGTCTTCAACCAAAGTCTGTGCAGAATTATGTNCAGAAGAGAGTTTGTTGCTTTTGAAACCCAGAGAGGTAAATGATTTTTCCAGTATTAAATGATAATTTTTCTCAAATTCAACAGTTAAAATAATTTATAATATTAAAACTAAATGTAATTTGTTTCTCAAATTTTATCAGGGAGAAGATTATGTGAGACATGAAGACGTCGTCTCTATGATTGAGAAGGAAGGAGACCAAATATCAGTCATTTTACTTCCTGGAATACAATATTTCACAGGGCAATTGTTTGACATAAAAACAATAACAGAAATAGGTCATAAAAAGGTAAATTATGTTGATTTAAAGTTTTGATGCTTTTTATCAATTTGTTCTTAATATCGTACCTGTTTTCAGGGTTGTATTGTTGGTTTTGATCTTGCTCACACAGTAGGTAACACGGAATTACATTTACATGATTGGGATGTGGATTTTGCAGCATGGTGTACCTACAAGGTAATAATTAAATTTATTAAAGTAAGTTTTATATGCAACAAAAGAAGCAATTCAATTTTAATGATTAATATATATATATTTTTAATTTTAACAAATTTTATTGCTAGTATTTAAATGCTGGTCCTGGAGGAGTGGCTGCAATATTTGTGAATGAGAAACACACGCATAATAGAAAAGACTTTCCTAAATTAAGAGGATGGTGGGGAGTTGATCCCAAAATGAAATTTATTATGAACGAACAAAGTAAGTCAAAAATTTATAAAAATTTTATAAATTGTGTATTTTTTATCAATGCTATTACTTTTTATTGAAATAAATAACTTTACACGTGCACTTCACGAGAAAACAACATGGCTGACTTGCATGCAGTTTGTTTACATGAAAAAAAAAAAAAAAAACGTTAACTCTTCTGCTACATGACAGAGGGAACCTTGTCACATTTTTCTTCTTATTATAACACTTCCTCCAAAAGAAAAAATAAGACTTGCTTAATGATTACATGGTTACAACATTCGTAAACAAATCTTTTCTCTTAGCAAATAAAATTGGACACGTTCAAGTGGCTTCCTCAACAGATCGGCCAATTGGTTCTTTTTGTCGATGTGCTCCAATTTGAGTTCACCATTTAAAAATCTTTCACGTGCATAGAAGTGTCGAACCTCGATATGTTTGGACCATTGATGAAATTCCGGATTCTTTGCTAGCTTTATGGCACTTGCGTAATCAATATAAAGCATTGGAGGCTGCTCTGGCATTTCAATCAATTCAGACAATAAATGGTGTAGCCAAATTAATTCTTTTGATCCTTCACTTGCTGAGATAATCTCTGATTCAGTTGTGGATGTTGCCACTACTTTTTGTAATTGGCTAGTCCATGATATAGCTCCATCTGATAATTTTGCAATGATTCCAGTTGTTGAACATCTTGTCTTCCTGTCACCAGCAAAATTAGACTTTCAGTTCTTCTTCTTTATTATAAATGATGCCCCAGTTCATAGTATCTTTCAAGTACCAAAATATACATTTTACCTGATTCCAATTTTGAATAGTTGGTTTCTCTGTAGCTGAAGCTGCTTTATTCACTGCAAAGGTGATATCTGGATCAGACATTGTTTGAAAATATATGAGACAGCCCACTGCCTTGCAATATGGTATACCAGATGACACTGCCTCATTGAGATCACTTTCTTCACAGCCAACAGAGGGTTGAGACTGCATTTGATTCAGCCATTTGTTTCTAATTTTCTTTTTGTGTCATTTTCTTGAATTACTGTAATCTTCATATTGTTTTATTTTCATCCCAAGAAAACTGTCGAGACCTCATCATCATATTAAATTCTTGTTGTAGAGCTCTCAAAGTCAGTAATCTCTTTCTTGTCACTGCCGACAATAAGACCATCATCTACATAAATTGTGATATAGAGTCACCTTTTATTCTGGTTTCAATAAAAAAAGACAAGGATCTGCAGTACTGTTTTGAAAATGTGCTTTCTTCATAAATCTGATAAATCATTTATTCCAGCAACGTGGTACCTGCTTCAGCCCATACAGACTTTTTTCCAGGAGACATACCTAACTGGTACCATCATCGAAACCCTCTGGTTGTTCCAAATACATTTTCCCTTCAAGTATGCCATTCAGGAAAGCTGTCTTTACATCAAACTACTCCAATTTCATATTCTTAGCAATTGCTACCACTAACAAAGTCCGAAGGGTGTCATAACATGCAAGAAGACTAAATGTTTACTCGTAGTCAATTCCTAGATTTTGGACATAACCTTTTGCAACTAACTGAACTTTGAAGTGAGTGCTTCCATCACTTTTAGTTTTCTTGCACAGAACCCAACAATTTTTCACAACTTGTGCATCCTTTGGACGTTCGACTAACCTCCATGTATCGTTTTGTTTTAGATATTCCATTTATTCATGAATAGCTTGCATCCATAGCTCGCATCCATAGCTCTCTCTCATTCAATTGCAATACTTCAGAAAATGAATTTGGGTCTTTGTATTCTCCAACAACAATTCCTGGCCATCATTAAGAATTCATTGCTTTCCATCCAGGATGGTTTACCTTGCTGTCTCTTGCTTCTCCAGTTTCTTTGTCAGAAGTTTCATTATTTCACTTTGAAAAAGTTCCATTGATTCTTATATCTTATCATATTCACTCCGATCTTCGCTTCCTCCAGAAGTTGCCATGACAAATTCTTCAGTTTTTATTTGATTTTTTATGTTTTGGCATCTGACTTCCTCCATTTCCTTCACCTCAGACAACAGATTGGACTAACCCAATGTCAGCTGCTGCTCTCGTGGAAAGTCAAATTCCACAGTATCACTGTGCCGATTGCAGACGACTTCTGGTTTGAATTTCACATCATAATCACTTTCTTTTGAGAAGGAATACAGATTCAAAATCCATCCATACCCAACCGTCTGAAAATAGCTTTATTGTCAAATTTTGATCGAAAATTCTTGTTTACATGTACGTAGCATCCAGTGCTGAAAATTCTCAGGTGATCAAGTCTTCCTACTGGTTGACCATACCATAGTTCATAAAGGGCTTTGTTCTGAACTGAAGATTTTCCAGTACAATTCAAAAGATATATGGCAGTGTTGCATGCTTCTGCCCACAATCCTTTCAGTAATTTGCTTGGATTCAACATAAAACATGCTGTTTCCACAATGGTACAATTTTTGCATTCAGATGCACCATTTTGCTTAGGTGTATAAGGTGGAGGAAGCCATTGATGTATCCTTCTGTTTGCAAGCAATTCAGCAACTTTTTTGTTGACAAACTCTGTACTTCCATCACATCTGAATTGTTTGACATGTCTATTTGTTCTAGCTTCATTTAAAAATTGTTCAAGCACATCACATACTTTGCTTTGATGTTTCAAAAAGAAAATTTGTCAAAACTTGCCGAAGTCATCTTTTAAACATACGTAGTAACGTGCTCCTCCTAAAGATTCAGTGGACATTGGCCATTCACATCTGCATGGATCAATTTGCCAGTAACTGTTGGACAATTCATTCTTTGCTTAAGTCGTAGTCTATGCATTTTTCCCAAAGCACATCCATCACAGAATTCTTCATTGCAACTTTCCATGTTGATGTTCATTTACTTCAAAACATCTTTTATGTGCTGTTTATTTTGATGACCAAACCTTTTGTGGTACACTTGTGGAGTATCAGACTGTGCCACCAAATTCACCCAAATGTTTTTGTGGTTTTACAACACATATCGAGCATGTAGACCATTTTCCATGTAATCAGTCATGACAGTGTTCTCACTGATTTTGTCTCAAATTTTAACACTTCTGTCCTCAATTATTATACTGTAGCCGTTCAATGCTGCTGCTGTGACGGAACAAATGGACACTTGCATCAGGGACATACAAAACATTTTTCATTTCAGCATTATACCAGATACTGTTTTGTTGAACTTGAATCCTTATTGTTCCTTGGCCATGCACATACATACTCACATTTCACTTTCCAAGTGAGATTACTTCAGGAACAGCAAATTGTCTATACGAGATGAAGTATTGTTTGTTTGGGGTAATATTCTTGGTTGCACCACTATCATAATACCATTTATTTGCATCAATGTAGTTTCCAACTGATGCACCCATGACATGTGAAATGAATATGACATTGCCACTCCCTTTGCTTATTAGTCCCAACACCTGTCTTTTTCTGCGGATGATGCTTCCCAATGGCCCAATTGTTTGCACTTGTTACACGGAAATCTTTGCTTTGCCCATTCCACTGGCATTTTTGTTTTTCCAGAATTCTGCTTCTTTTTATACTTGCCAGAAGCAACAAATGCATTTGTTTTGGTTGTGCCTTGTTCACACAGTTCAATCATGCACAGTTTTTCAATGAGTAAATTCAAACTTTGATTTTTTGACAAAATTGTCCCATAGGTCTTTGAAATTATCAGTCTTTTCCCAATATAGATAAAATTCGGTCATTTAATACTCTTTCAGACAAAGTATTTTCTTTGTGTTTCGTTAATTTGGCATTTAAATCACAAATAACTTTTACAATTTAGCAACATGTGTGCTAATGTCCTTTTTCTCATCCTGTTTAATCCGAAAGGCGGCTTCAATTAACATGTTCAATTGTTGCTTAATGTTGCGCTCAAATCACATGTGTAATTTATCCCAGATTTCTTTTGCATTTTGGTTTACTTAGCATACTTGCCACTTAGCGTATGTTGCCTTTTGTTTATTTGTTGGCTCTGTTTGTAACTCAACATGTACATGCTTTCCGTTAATAATATCTTCTAATCCGTATAAACGCAACACAATAGAAACATCCATTTCCATTTTGCCAAGTTTTCAGGCCCTTCAAGCTTATTGACATTTACCTTGTAATCCCCGCTGATAGCCATTTTCTTTCCGTCCATCCTTGTTCACACGTATTCAACCAAGTATAACTTCAGAGGCACACCACAATAGTCTCTTTCATTCAAAACTGTACTTTTCTTATCTTCATATGGACTGGGCCCATAACCTATTACTCTTTATTGAAATAAATAACTTTACACATAGACTTCATGAGAAAACAACATGGCTGACTTGCATGCAGTTTGTTACATAAAAAAAAAAGCAGCAGAGGAAGCCTTGTCACATTTTTTTATTATAGCAGACACATTTAAAAGCTGAGAGAACATGTGAGTCACATCTTACTTTTATTACAATTAAAGTGAATTGTAACTACAATGTAATTCAGAGTAACCTGTAATGGATTTTATACGTTAGTTATTGTTCTTTATATTATTATACAAATTTCAACAGTAGTGAGAATATCTATTTCAAGATTTTGTGATTTCTTAAAATTGTTTTATTCTAAATCTTGACAATACAGTGACAACTCACATTGAAAACTGTTCTTAAAACAATTCTAAACTTCTTGTTCAGTGAACAAAGCATAAGCTACAGTTCTTACTTGTTAGTCAAGAACTAAAGAAAGCCATTCAAGAAACACCTCAATGTGGGTTCTCATCTTTGGTGAGGGGACCTCCCAGTGATAGTTTAGTATCTCTTTACCATCCCTGGGATCTGAATGCCCACCCATGTGTTTGCTGTGCATGGTGACCAATATGACAGAAAAGGGGATCCTGACAACACAATGTTCCCAACACACTGCTTTTGCCCTTGCTTTGAATAAACAGGAGGCTCAAGTCAGGCTCTATTTGAGTCAGTTGGCTGGTCATTGAGTCAACTGATTGATGCAGACTGGGTGGACATGTCCCTGCTTGACAGTTATGTCATGTCAGACAAGATGTGCTGTTCTTGACTGCATTCTTCAAATACATAATTATATATAGCAGAATTGTGTGTACAGAATCAGTTATACAAATATATTTAGGGATCCTTTTAGGGAGGAAAATCTTTTTTATCTTCTATTTGTTGGTTTACTTACCAATTTAATATCATAGAACAAAGAATACAGAATGTTTTAAAACCTTTATTATTGATCATGGAACAAACAATTTTAATACAAACAATTCATTAGAGTCAACAATAAATGAAATAACATCCTTAGAATTATTATTATTTTAATAATAATAAATTTACTTAGCATAATTTTAATTGATTGAAAGAAAATTAATGTACAAATTAACTAAATGCAAAAAATCACATCTCCCAAATGCACTTTTGGTCTCCATTATATACTAAAATATTTGATATATGCCAGCTTTGACTTTTGTTCTATTAAACAGCATTTTTTAAAAATTAAAAATAAAAATCATCTAACAAGACTGTTTTATTCAGCGATACTTTGATATGTCTTGTTGGATGATTAGTGAAGCCACAGTACATTGATTTATTGTAATGAATAGCAGATACGATAATATTCGTACTCGTTGCAATCATTCAATGCACTGCATATTCATTACAATATAAAAGTTAAAAATTTAAAAAAATTATTTGTAATTAATATATTTATTTAATGCAATTTATTCTGTTGTAGGATTTCATTCCTGTACTGGTGCTGACATGTTTAAATTAAGCAATCCTTCTCCAGTTCTGATAACTATGTTGATGGCTAGTTTAAAAGTAAGCAGTGCTTATAATTAATTTATTTAATTACTCTTTCTTCTATTATAAATGACTACAAAGAAATTTTTATTTAAAGAATATAAAAGTAAAGTTTAGTGGATTATTTTTCTCTGTAAAGTATGAAAAAAACTACTGTATTTCTATTCAATCAACTTAAATATGTTTTGTATGTCTTTGCAACAAATTAGTCTCTTAAAATGTATATCTTGAAGTTAATGAATGGTTTAATTATGAAAAGTAATTTTTTAATAAAAAAAATATACAACATAATTAATATTAAACTAAATAAAAAGCACTTTTGTTGAATTATTTATGGCTTTGTCAGGTTTTTAATCAAACAAAGGAGAGTGTTGTTTAAAACTGTAAATGCTTTTGGAAATTTTTTTTTTGTTTTTCCCCTTTTGCCTTATAGGTACTAAGACCTGACCTTTTCAGCAAACCCCACGGGTTTGACAAGGCCCAGGATGGGTAGCCAGTGGTGAGGGGCAGGGCCCAACATAATCGACAGACTACCTCCAAAAATATTCCTGGAGTTTTTCAATCCTTTCAGATTTGATCCTTGTTCTCTGCAATATTGGTAGTCGGCTGCCACCTTAATTTAACCACTCGGCCATCTGGCACAATGCATTTGGATTACAAACAAATAGTTTATACAATGTGCAGGATAACATTCATTTTAGTATATTTTGAAATATGTTACATGGAATATTTATATCAAATACAGTTATTTTGATTTTTAACAGGTGATTGAAGAGGCAACACTCAAAGAAATACTGAAAAAGCAGTTTCTGTTGACTGGATATTTTGAAATGCTGATAAAACATTATTTTTGTAAAGATGAAAACTCAGTCTTAAAAGTTATTACTCCTCCAGATCCAAGATGCAGAGGAAGTCAATTGACATTGCAAATTAAAACAACAAACCATAATATGAAAAGTGAACTTGAAAAACGAGGAATTATTGTAAGTATTAAAATTACAAATATAAACATCTGTAAGCCTGATAATTATATTAAAGCCAAACAATTGCCAGATTATTATTTTGGTAATTTGGCCTAATGCCTACCTCTGGGCCAAATTACTTAGCATTTAATTATTAATAGTAAGAGTAATACAGCTTGATCTAATCTGGCAATCATTTGATATTATAATTGATTTCTTTTAATATACTACAAAATAGTAAAAAAACTGGGTTTGGTTAAATTCATTCTGAAAATGCTGTATATGTGTTGAATGAAAATGCTATAAAGAAAGGCTTAGGAAAAAACTTTTATTGGGGAGGAAGCACTGGCTTACAAGCAATGTTAAATTTATCTGTTTACTAAGCTCTGAAATTTCCTGTATATGCTTTCCCACATAAACAAGTTAAATATTTATTTAAGTTGTTTTTATGCTAAATACCAATATATTTATTTACACTTGTATTTCTAATTTACCAGCTTTTATACATAACAGGAGAAAGTATGACAATTAGTCAAAAATGGGCTTGAGATTTTACATTTTTGAACTTGGGATCTTGAAACGTTGAGAAATGTAAAAAATGTCTGGGGTTTTTTACATATGTATGGGTATCTGAGCAGAGGATTACAATTTTGTTCATCCATTTTGAAGCTTAATATTAATAACACCTCTGCCTTTTGTCAAAAATTTCTGAAATTTTGCATGGAGGTTTGTGTGTTAGGTAGGGGATTGATGCTATTAAATTTTGGCAGTTAAATGTCAAAAGGGTAGGGAGATAGAGGGAAGTCATGTATCATGTCTTGAGTGGGGTCAGAATTAATGAAGATTTTACTTATTAGCATTTGCAAATTTTTTATAAAACCCATCTCTATCATCAAAATTAAGCTTTTTTCCATTCATAATTATTAATAATATAAAAGTTATTTTTAAAATAAAATCTCATAATAGCTGGAATAATTATGTAACTTGTTGCTGGATTTTTTTCTAAGTTAGTCTTGTATATCATTTTGCTATACATATTGATTCATGCTAGCAACATATACATACACTTTTGGAATTCTTAAAACTTAAAAATATTATTCTAATTTCTCTTTAACTTTAGTGTGATATGAGGAAAGACTGTTACAGAGTGGCACCTATTCCACTTTACAATACATATCTGGAAGGATATAAATTTGTACAAATACTTCAAACTTTATTAAAGAATTAAGTAAGTTATTCTAATTATTCTTCTTTAAGTTATATAGTTATTAGTACAGATATTTAATAATTTTAATAAGGTTTTCATACATTAATTTTGCTATCTATATTTAACAAAAAATTTATTATATCAGAACAGAATAGTTTCATGATTAAAATGTCAAGGATAATTTATATAAACAGTAAATTAAAATAGAACAGAAAGCTTGATTGGATGCATAACCAAAAAATTAGTTTTGAAATACATGCTAATTATATTTTTATCAGTCTGTAGCTTCAATAATGTTCAAATACAGCTTCATAAAATTGACAACAATGGCTTTAGATGATAAAATGTTATTTTACCATCAAAGCCTCAACATTACATTAGGTTAAAATGCTGTAAAATTCTTTTACTGATTTCTGAAATGATATTGGACATTAAATCTTGCCAAAATCAGTAATTTCTTATTTATATAGTTTAGTAGATCTTAAAAAGTAATTGTTTGTAAATTGTTTGCATCCAGTTTTAAATATGCAGACAGCTTTAAATTTTACTTGTTTCAAGCAATGTGTTAACAGCTTTATTTTTCATTAATCTCTAGTAAAAAAGTGTGTTCATTTACAATAAAACCATAGTAGAAGTTCCTTAATCTGGCACCTAATAATCCAGAATGTTTGGAAATCTGGCACCTCCAAGAAGTAGTTTACAATCTAGTATGCTGATGTTCTGTGCACATGTAGTTTTTGTAAATTGTATGTATACAGTATATGTTTAGAAAATAAATATTGTATGCACTTGAACATTATGGACATTGATTGAAAAATCTTCAAAAATATTAATGAACACATTGTAAAAAATCAGTCTACACAGTGCACAATTGCTATCTACAGGCCAATTAATGTGCCAAAATAAATTGGAAGCATATGGAAGTGTGCTCTTGTACAAAATGTATAGAACATATGCAACATTGTAACTGCATATGACTTACCAAATTTTGGAAATTTACAAAAGCATTTGGCATGCAGCATTTTTGATAAAGGGACCAGAGTTGTGCTGAATGAACAATAGCATTAAATAGCAAATATCTACTTTGCTATTTAATAATATAATTATGCACCTTTATTATAGTAATACAGTGAAACCTCACTTAACGAGCGTAATTCGTTCCAGAATCTTACCCATAATGCGAAACATTCATTAAGTAAAACAATTTTTCCCACATAAATTAATATAAAATACGATAATGCGATCCTTGCCGAAAAAATACTCAAATATTTATTCAAAAAACATTATTTAGACATTTGTGGAATTTAATTTGAGATGGCAGCATAATTGGCTACCTCTAGCCAAGTTAATTAATTTTTAATATTTAATTTTAGCCTTTACATAGCCCAAAAATTTGATATATTGTTTGGCGTGTTTAGTATATAATGGGCTATGGTTGTTGATGTTTATATGTAATATGTCTGAACACAAGTTTGGAAAAATGTGTGATCACAAGCGACACTAAGGGTGCATTTACTTCTGAGTTAGCAATGCTAATTCTGAACACTGGATGTGATGTCATTAGCACGTGTATTCGTGCTTGCTTGTCCAATTCGAAAGTAAATGCATATGCTAACAAGATATATGGCAGTTTCCAGCCATATTTCTTGTTAGCATATGCATTTACTTTCGAATTGGACAAGCAAGCACGAATACACGTGCTAATGACATCACATCCAGTGTTCAGAATTAGCACTGCTAACTCAGAAGTAAACGCACCCTAAGATGCTACATCAGTCTGTTTAACCCAGGTGCTAAACAGAGTGATGTAGTATACACACAATCCGGGACTTCCCTTTCCTTGTCACTCGTTACGTGAGTCATTTTTTTTTACAATTTATTTTGCTGGTTACGCAAATTACTCATTATGAGAGGTGCTCATTAAACGAGGTTCCACTGTATCATATATTTTTGCACATAGCAAATATAAAAAACTTTCCTAAATAATGAGCATTGTGAAATCTAAATGCAACCACTAAATAATTAAAAATATGAGCACAGTTTTATTTAAATCTTATAAATCTGAAGGTATTCTGTCAACCAAATAAATGTCTTTGCAAAATTCATATAACTAGTAAAATAATCTTGAAATTATCTAAAACTGCATGTTATTATTTGTGATTCAGTTGTTTCCAATGAAACAATTGAATTATAGATAAAACCAGTTTAAAGCAGCTGTGTGTTAACTATTAAATATATCTCTGATAACCGAGTTTTGGGTCATCATTTACTCACGTCAAATCCTTAATAAAGAAAAAAGTAATACATTTAGAGCTAGACTATTTTTAAATATTTCTCATGATATAGAAGGCAGAATATAAGTGTTGTTAATGGTTCCACTAGAATAAACAATAGTTGCAAATGCAATTAAATATAAAACAAAATAAACTGAAATACTTGCATATCAAAATGTATTATTATAATATAAAAACAAATAATGTTTTTCAAAAACATGGAAATGTTTTGACAATAACTGACAACTGTTTTAGTAAATGTGAATATTTTTTTCCTTCTTTATTCCTTTATTTCAGACATTCCATTGTTGTTATTTTGTATAAGCTTTTATTTATGCAAGAGAAATATAATAATTTGTACATTTATAATTTTAAATCTGGTTTGGCCATGTATACTGTCAAAAATAATATTTAATCATAGATTTTAACTATTCTGCAGGACAGATGAGATCTTGTCGTGCAATACTTCCTCAATAATTTCGAAAGCATTCTCATGATCCACAGACTATAATTGAAAAACATCATAATATAGGGCCTATATATATTCAGTCAATTTATGAATCAATATTTTTTAAATTCATTATTAAGTTAAAATTATTTCTAATCAAAGTTTCAAGATTTGCAGTTTTATACAAATATTATATTTCTTTAATCAAATTATCTAATTATACAAAATATGGAATATTCTACCAATTCAGTAGTTGGAATACATTATTTTGAATCTACACAGCAAAATGTTAAATTTATGCTCTCTTCTCTGATAAATCATAGTCTGTACTGAGAATTTCAAAACATTGTGTACCTAAAACAATATACAAAATTAATAATGTATTTTAATCAGGTTTTTGAGCTTACATAAACAAAATACAATAATCTGGCAAAATATTTTCTAATAATGAGTATTTAAGTTTTATTTATCATAAATGATGACTTTCTGCATAGAAAATTCATCATCATCATCAATAGATTCTGAGAAAGTGTGACCTGAAGTGAAATAATCATTTCAAGTCATATTTTCTGAGAATCTATTGATATAAACAAGAGCTAAGTTCCTACTGTAAATTTCTGGTCACAGAATTTCTAAAAGATTCACAAAATTTCTGTTATTAAACATTAAAATAAATGTAAGTTATAACATACATGTATATTTACAGAAGATTAATAAAAACAAGGAAGATAATTATTTATGGTGAATCAGTGAGTAATGGCAGTCATGATGGGTGATATGTGGAGAAGCTTAATCTTCATCATTGGTGATAGGTAAATGTGAGTTGTAATGAATGTTTGCAGGTGAAATCTGTAAGGAGCACATCTATGTACCATCACACAGTCCAAAAACAAGCAATGGTGATTTAAACAAATTATAGAGAGCACTGCATAAATTTAAAATGGCAAATGCATACAAGGCACATTTTTTACTTTGACATTATTTAATGTATTGTGTGTGGTTTATGTTATTTGAAAAAAGACAGATTATTTGTTGAAAATATTCTTATTAGAATGTGTTTACAACCTTTGGGATTGGGATTGTATTTTCTCCTCAAAATCACAATGATTTGTAGAATTTCATTGGATGATGATTAAGTTTTAAGTTAAATCAAAAACAGTCTGTTGAAAAAGGAATCATCATTTATTCACTTTCAATATTCCAAAATACTAACTTTTGGCAACTGACCTTTCTCTGTAGGCTACTTGGCCATCAAAAACTTCCCTTAAAAACAAAGAAAAAATATCCAATTAAGGAAAGTTTTAATTTTGATGGCCAAGTAGCCTACAGAGAAAAGTCAGTTGGCAAAAGTTTGTATTTTGGAACATTGAAAGTGAATAAATGGTGATTCCTTTTTTGAACAGACTATTCAATTTAACTTTAAATGTCCTGAAAACCAGTTTTATTGCTTATAAATAAAGTTCAATAACAATAATTGCAAATGATTACACATATACTTGTATGTTTTTCTCTCAATGTTATAATGAAACAGTGTTAAATGAGGACTTAACTTTTAGATATTTTGTATTTAAATGCAGTATCTTTGTCATTGTTCGAAGATGTAGAAGAAATTTCTCTCTTCATCGTCAGAGAATGATGCAGATACAGGTTGACTACTTGTTTTCTAGAACATTAGCTTCCAGTCTTGCTGGAGTATTGGTTTTACCAGACAAAGTGACATCATATAATGTTTTCCATCATGCATCAGTCTTAGCCACAACTGAGGCACTGATGAATGATTTCATAAGCTTTTACTGGAATATCTGGCAACTTAATAAGATGACAGAAGCAAATGGCACTATACAGGCATTTTACAGACTTATTTTGTCAATAACTTGGGTTACTACAGATGAGTAGTACAAGTGGCTTTAATTAATAATATAATTGTGGAGGCAGCCATATTGCTTCATCAGAGCTCACCATTTTCACAGCTCAGTGTGTGTGATGTGCATTGGTTGCTGCACCAATGAACTTATCAGTATCAGAATACATTTTAGTAAATTACAGTTCTTCAATGAGCAGTTGGTACCCATTAATTAAACCATATATCCTGGAACACTAATCACATGTCTTCCATATTTTTAAATCATTAAAGACTTTTAATCTTGAATTAAGCATATATTAGGTGTGGACTAGTGTTTGGCTTGATACTATTGACACATCTTTCTTACATTTAATCCTATCTATGGCTTCTAAGTAAAATGAGCTTAAACACACACAAAATAGAATGATCACTAATATCTGAAATGTAGGTAATCTGAGTGAATGCACATCATATGCAATATTGTCTGTGTAAGTCTGGAATATGCTGTCAAGAGAATTTTAAATGGCTTCTTCTAATTCTGTCCAGAATAAAAGAGGTGCTGGAAAATCAGTGTCCACCTCAAAATAGGAGGAGTTTTAAAGTGGAAAGCTTTTACATTTTTATGTTAAGATCTAATCATAATTTTATAACAGAGATGTGCACCTTTCAATTTTTTGTTATAAATCAATGGAAGATGAGTCTGAGCATTTAATCTTTTCACCAAAGAAGAACTTTAACTTACATCTACAGCACATTTAATACCTTCCACTTACAGATTCTCTTAATATTTATGATTCGAGAGAGAATTTTGTATTACTTTTAGATAAATTTTTGTTAAATTGAAACAAGATAATGCCTTATTATGTAGCGGGAAATTTTTGTCAGCAGATATATTTTTTCTTTTCAAAACTAAATTTCAAATTTGATTACAAATAAATCTTAATTCTGTCATTAATAACAGTTACCTTTATTTTTCAAGTAGTGAACTCAGTTCTTCAAATCCGTGCCGTCCACATTTAAATCCAGCCACCCGACAGCCAAATCTTACTGCTTCTTCTGGTTTCTGTTCCGAACTCAGCATTGATATCGTGGCTGCGACAAATGTGTCTCCTGCACCAAGCGTATCAATCACTTTTTCTGGTTTGTTTGCTGGAAAGACAGAGATAGATCCATCGACATTTCTGATGCTTGCACCCATTTCACCCCAAGCACAAATAATTGCAACCCTAAATACATTTTCAATTATTAAAATGCAAATCATTAATTAATAGAGATTAAGCTAACTTACCCCGATTTAATGTCATCTCCAAGCTGTTTAACTGTCTCTTCCATTGAGTCATAACCATGCATCCGCGCAAAATCTTTTCCTATGAACAAAAAGTCACCATACATCAATAACTCTTCCAGACACTGTTTAGGTTTCTCTAGTTCCACAGATACTGGAATTCTTTGACTGACATGATCCAGATTCCATTTTTTTATGTATTCAATCATTTTTTTAACCTCCGTCACATTTCTTCCCTAAAATGAATACAATGTTCATTAATCATGTAATTGTTGGTTCATAAATAATAAGTCTAATATTTATTGAATAAACTTCAAACATTATTTTAATTAATTAAACTTGCAAAAAGAGAGTAATTCTATTTTAAAGACTAATTCTCTTGCAAGTCTAATTAATTACACAGATATTTGAAATTTCAAATTAAGTGCATAAATAGAGTCAACAGACAAACTGGAAATTCATATCAAAATCACAATCTAATCCTTTCCTTTTCCAACAAAACAAAATTTATTTAAACAATGTTTTAGATCTCTTTAATAAGCTTTCTTCAGATCACATCATCAAAGAGAACGGTCATTCTAATTGTATATTTGAAAATGGAACAGTCTCAAATAGAACATGTATACTTCAAATATTCAAGTAATACACCTCGAAATGCTTGTTACAATACTCCTTAGTTTTCATCCACCCAACATGATTTCATTGCTCACTTTGGTCATGAACAAGGTTGTAAACATGTAAATAAATGCATATAATAATAAATATATGCATACATGGGTATGAACCAAAACAAAATCCATACTAAACTAAAGGGATAAAACATTGTTTTTATGCACATTGAAGTACAAAAATTTTACATTCTTGGCACTAAAAATGGCCACTATGTCAAAGGGCTTGTGGATCACTGATATAAATAAATATACCTTTATACTCCTATCTTGCAGCTGCTCACTAATTGAGTTTATCTTTTTACAAATTGAGCTTTCAAATAGGCACATTTTAGTTTCTTCCAGATTGGATACATCTTTTATAAAAATTATTGATAAAAGGAGGTTGACGACATTTGTATTTTGTTAAAATGTTATGTTACTTTTGTTTTTTTTGTTGTGTATTTAGTAAATATTATTTACATTAATATCTTTTTTATTTTACTGTAATGATAGTAATCCAATTTTATTGATTTTTACAGCCAACTACTTGAAACCTGAATTGCGATATCTTGAACTTAATAAAATGTATTGTTTAATATGAGAAAGAGTTTGAGCAAGTTTGAGAAAACTGTGTTTTATATTCATCAGAATGAAAAAACATAGAAATCATTTTTAACAAATAAATAAATAATTGATATAATGTTTGTAAAACAGTATGCTAAAAACAGAGACGATAAAATTCATTATATTTTGAAATAACACAGAAGGGAAATTAGATGACTGAAAAAACATTCAACAATCAAAACGTGCTTTGAGAAAAGTTTTTGAGAAAACACACCAACAAAATCAAAGCATAACTGATGACAGCAAATAAAATAATATCTTAATTTCTCTTTTAAGGAATGTAATGAAGCAAAAACAGTAAAAATCTGGAAGTTGTAAATAATCTACAAATATGAGTTGAACTTGCATTGTTATATAGTTTGATAATATCCCCACATTAAGAAAACAGAAGGCAAATTTACACAAATACAATAGATGATTAATACTGTATATAGAGTGTTTTCCCTCTAATGTTCCTAGTTTTAAACTGCTCTATAAAATCCATTTGTTCAGATATTTGAATAAAATCTGCTAGAGAATGTTGGTTGGTCAATACTCCAAGTTTTGCATACATTCAAAAGGGGTGCTGCTGCATGGTGGCAATCTGGACCTCCATTGTCACGTAGGTAAGATTGTGGTGGCAACACACTGTTAATGACAACTGCAATTTTTGTATACAGGGCTCTTTTGTCTGACACTTTCGTAAAGACAAAATTCTTGACTTGCCCATAGAGAAAAATGTTCAGAGATAATGTCAGGTGAATGGATTTTATAGAACAGTTTAAAACTAGGAATATTAGAGGAAAACATCCTGTATTATTATCTGAATTGTTAGAGGGATATATAAATAGGACGCTAGAGGGAACAATATTATCTGAATTATACTGAATTATCTGAAACTATGTAATTTCTTGCGCTATTACAAGATATAAAAAACTAAGATAATAAGATAAAAACCAAAATAAGAGCCCAATGTAGTTAAAACAGTATTTTTAATCGAAAATCCAATATTATTCAAATCATTGATTTGAAAAATTCATAAAGAATAATCTGTTATTAACAAGAAAACATTAAAAAAATGTATTTAGTATATTTTGGTAAAATTATTTGATTACAAAAACATTTACTCAGTTGCTGAAACAACTGCACAGTTCTTCATTTTAATTTCAAATGGAATTCTGGTACAAGAAAGTTTGCCAAAAGAGTTAATCTTACGACTTCACAATGTACAAATATACAGAAAACGTACTTCGAAGTGAACCCATTTGTATTTTGTCAGGTCCAACTTTGCAAACTGTTCGAACGTGGGTTCCGGTAAATTTCTGTCTTGAAGAACATTTGGTAATTAATCACTTCAAAATGGCAAAAAAATTATCAGTTTTGATGCGACCCATACCTGTTAGAGTGGAGGATTGTCCTTGATCCATTGTTGACATTTATGATGACAGTAGAAATGGGAGAATCACAGTCGTCATAGAAAACACAGTTATCTCTGCAAATTGCGTGACTGTCCAAATCATTCTGTAAAAAACTGCAAAAGATCCAAGAGAGTTACACAAGTTTTGTAAATTAATCAAACGTCTTGGTTATTGTTTCATACTATCCTACAATGATACGCACTCACCGGCCACCGAGATCATTACTCATTGTTCCAAAATATTCACAGGGAGCTCCAAGTTGTTTAGCTACAGTGCAATTGTTGGAGGCATTTCCGCCTCTTTGCCAGTGATGATAGAGACACCTGTAATGAAAAATATTATGCATTAGCTAAAAAATGGTCATTTTAATTATGGAGATTCACAATATTGATATCATAGTAGTCTCAATTTGATTTGTAAAATATATAGCAATATCCTCAATCCTCCACTGATGATAAGTATGAATAGGTGTTGGGACAATACCAGTTATATGGCACTAATGATAGTCATCAACAGTAAGAATGTACACATTCTTTAGTTTATAGTTACAATTATATTAACATACAATACTTAATTCATTAAAATTAATTAAATTAAGTATTGTGATGTATGACATTAAGTTGGTTATGAATCAAGGAATCAATATGTAACAAGTGGCATAGTTTCTCATGTGTGAGTGTGAACTGTTTAACACTCCAAACTGTACAAATATAAAATAAAATGTATGAAATATTAAGAGATAGGATTGGAATTAAATTTTTGGAATGCATTCTTGTTAATAGTCTCTCAAAGACAAGAGATGACAAGTTCAGAATTCAGAACACAATTTCTTAGTGTCTGTTGGCAAGAGATTGGTTGGTAGTAGTGAATGATATCGACTGATATTAATCACTCCCTAACCCACTTTTGAAAATTGGCAAGTCTGCAGACCATAACAGAAAGAAAGAAAAGTAGTCTGGTTGAAAAATGGAATGCTGTTACCATGATTATGGCCATGGTCTCTTAGTTTATAAAGATTTCACTTTCAGTTCTTACCTAGCTATTTCAACTTTTCTAATTTCTAAATCTTCCTTGGTAGAGAACAACAAATGTGTTGCTCAGAGGGGGGAAAGAAAGCAATACCTTAGGGATAATCCTGTCTCAACGAAAGAGTCTATTGGTTTGGTCTGACAATGTTGTGTGCTAGTGGGTGGCAGCAAAAAGTAGTATTGTCATGGCTGGACCTATTCTTACATTTTTGGTTTGGTAATAACCAGTAAATCATCAGAAACTTTATAGATAAAATTTTTGAATGGTGCCCAGTCTCAGAGGTCATCGCTCTGAACAGATCCTAAGTGTGATAAGACAATACATTATCTCAGACACTGAGCAACATGGTATTTTTGCTTCGTATATATATATAACCTACTGAATTAAAGATGTTTACATGTTTATTTTTTAAAAATAAACATGTAAACACTTGCATTAAAAATTTCACTAGTAAATAAAGATTATTCACATCACATCATGGAAGAATCTCGGGAATCTTTTAGGAAAGTAAAAATAGGAGTCCATGACTTTGGACTCCTATTTTTACTTTACTGGCTCTGTCATAGATAACAGAGGGGAAGTATAGTGATCAGTCAAAAAATGACTCCCAAGGCTTTTACATTTTTAGACTTAGGGGACATCAAAACATTAAGAAATGCAAAAACATTCAGTTTTTTTCTGTGCGTATGGATGTTAATGTGCGCGCGTGTTTGTGTACAGCACGATTTCGTTTATCCTCTTTGATGCTTAACTCCCGCACTTTCGAAAACTTTTGAAATTTTGCCGGAAGGTTTATGTATTAGAAATATTCACACTATTAAATTTTGGTGGTTTAAGGTCAATGGAACGGAGAGATAAAGGGTGGTCGCGCATCACATGTCGATTAGGGTCAAACTTAATTACGAGTTTACTCATTATTAGTAGTTACGATTTCTTATAAAATCCATCCCTACTTTCAAAATTAAGCTTTTTGCCATTTTATAACAAAATGTAAACAGTTTTTTAAACGAAATATCATAAGAGATGACTTTCCCGGTAACATTTAAAATTCTGGCGACGCTAAGCAATTCATTGCCGGATTTTTTACATTTAAACGGACCCACGTTACATTTCTGGATTTCTTGTCTCAATTAATGGAAAATGGCAAAGTTTTATCAAAATCTATCAAACAGATTTTGAGAACAAACACAATCCTGTAAGCCTCATAGAAGAAGCTTCACTAATGCTCCGCTTCAATCAAACTAGTAAAAGGTAGTAAATGGCCAGGACGATATTTACATTTTTCAACAGTCTCATGACGGAATTGACTTTTTATCATATGCTCTCATCCTCCTCAATAACGGTTTTACTCAATAAGGGTTTGACTATTGAACACAAGACTGTGTTATTAATTAAACACTTGGCATTTTTCCTCTATATTCGCAACTGAATAAAGAGTAATTGAATAAGTTCAACTGAATAAAGAGGAAAAATGCCAAGTGTTTAATTAATAACAGTCTTGTATTCGATAGTCAATAAATAAGAAAACATGGTTTCAGAAAACAAAACAAAAGGTCTTACTAATGTTATTTTACATACAATTTTAGCCATTGCCGAATAAAGGAATTTTTTTACATTTTATGCACCAAGACAGATAAGAGCCTACAATAAAAAGTCAACTCCGTCACAAGACCGTTTCTTCCCTGGGTGCAAAAAGGACGAAGGACAAAGAAAGACGAAGAATCCGCTTTTTTCCATTAATTTCTCATAAAAATTTACAAAATATTTAAAAAAATTATTTTAGAACGTTGGATCAAAAAATTTAGGAGAGAGAGAGAGAGAGAGAGAAAATCTACTCCAAAAGTTTTCTTACTTTTTATTAGACTTTGTAATTACTAATTTATCTTTATATCTAATATGTTAATTTACCTTTATAACTTTAAAATACTCAAAACTACACAAGTTTTTAGGAATAATGAAGTTAATGTTTTCATTTAGTTCGAGTTCAAATCCAGATAAACAGTTCACCGTTCTGTGAAAATCCGTATTCAAAAAAGTACAAAATGAAGAATGTATTCAGTAACTATCCAAAACGGAGATGATATAAACACAGACAACTAAACCAATACCAGCAACTACGTAATTAATAAATAAAGAAATAGTCAATAATAATATTTAGTTTTATTTAATTATATAATTCAATACGTCCGTCGACAGTCGCAACAGACGTATTACATACAACCATCCGGCCAACGATCTTAACTGCGGCTTATTTTAGCGGTAGGGAAGAATTCTATCAGTTTTTTCGTCATTCGATAACATTGGAAAAACCCACCGACTCGATTCAATCGATAGAATCGAATACAGTAGACCCCGTATAAAACGGGTTCCTATAATTATGATTCCTATAAGACAGCGAAAAAACTGTGACGGTAAAAAAAACTATAATTACGTAAAATGTCATCGGGCAGCCAAACTTTTCTGCCGTCCAGCACCATGTTACAGAGAGATTACTATCATCTGTACAGTATTATATATAAATTAGGTACTGTACATATAATTATATATTAATTATATATAAATTAGGTACTGTATATATAATTATATATTAACTTAATTTATTGTAACTTTATTATAATTATATACAGTGAAAACTGCTTAGGCGACCACCTGCATTCTACGGGCACCTGTCAAAACGGGCAAAAATTTCTGGCACGGAATAGTTTATCCATAGAGTCTTCGTATAAGTTACCCGTATTAAACGACCACCTGTGTAACGCGACCGCGGGCATTGAATTTTGGTCCGAAACAACATACAACACCTGTAATAAGCGACCCCTTTCGCGAATGTATCTGGTCTAAACTATTGTAAGAACCCATCTCAACGTTTCCACCTCGTAATATAATGAATTAGTCTAAACTCTCGTTCGAACCCATCCCGGGCACATCTCCCACCCTCGAAATTAGGTGCAGGTGTTAATAAATTAGTCTAGCAACAAAGGAAATTCATTTCAGTTTGCTGGAAAATGTCCGAAATGCAAAGTGCTGTCGTTAGAAGATCGTATTAAAGTTATCACAACAGCAATTAGCGGCGAAGTTTAACTGTGGG